ATACAATTCTTAATACACTTAAGTATCAGATAACATAACATTAATACCAGGTTTCTTCTTTATAGTGTTGTTGAACAATTTGAGCCCTTGTTCCTTAAGGATAGCTGTCAGATTGAACATACATTGACCTTGAGCAATGACTTGAGTGAATTTACAAATTAATGTCATTCTGTATGATGTGATGAACACATAAAACTTAATTTTTAGAAAGTCTTTGATGACTAGTAGTAATTCCAAACTACTAAATATTTTTGTAAGAATTTAAAAAAACAATCTCTATTTCCTATATATGACATTTGTCACCTGTCACTTTTGAAAAATCGTTTAAAAGGACCGACATTTGATTTCACTAGTTCTATTCAGTCTACGTCCTCACATCAATCAATGGTCGGGTCTTAAACCCGTACCATGACAAAAATTTTTTCAATTTTTTAACGTGTTTGTGAAGTCCAGTGTCGGCTTTTTATATGTTTTTTATATGTTTTAAGAATTCCAACTCCTACAAAATCATATTTTTGAAATTTAAGGAAATGAGATCTCTCCTTTGTAGTGGTATTTAAAAAATTGACGTAAGTTAAAAATTACAATCTTTACCAATTAGTACTTATTAGAACATTTTATTGTAGCATAGCTCTGATGATGGCTTTGTAAAGCCGAAAGCGCTCAGCTAGGAATTGCCTAAAATATACACACTTCAAAAATACTTTTTTGCATTTTCTTTCGACTTGTCATAAGTGTGTACAAAAAAATATCAGTCTTTTGATTATTCTATTTTTGTTCACAAATTCAATTTTTTTCTTAAGAAATTTCATCAAAATTTTTCAGATAAACATTTATTAGAATAAGACATTTTTTTATTAATATTTTTGTATTTAATATGTAAGCAGTAGTTTTATATAAAAAACTAATTTTATTTGGTCAGATAACAAAAAAATTTTTTATTTCTAGTTCAACTTTGTAAGATATTTTGTATTTTTTAGAAGCTCTTGATGTAATCACAATTGAAAGCTCGAGTAAAAAATAGTCAACAAATAGCCCCTTTTATTGACTCCAACCCATAAAAAACAGTTTTATATATATATATATATATATATTATATATATATATATATATATATATATATATATATATATATATATATCCAACTAAATAAATCGGATTGACTTCAAACCATAAAAAACAGTTATATATATATATATATATATATATATATATATATATATTATATATATATATATATATATAATATATAGTTCAATCGGTCAACTAGGTGGAGAAATAAAAGACAAAGTTGATACTACTTCATCTATTTCGAAGACGTTTCGCTATCGAATTCTGATAGCATCATCAGTTCATCATCTAAAAATTTTTACATTATGAGTACCACACATTCATGAAGAAGATGTTAAATAGTTACCTTAAAAAAGATATGTAGTTGTCAATGGTATTAAAAAGGTAGTACAAAAACTCAAATAAATGGACATCGTATGGTGATATTGTATAAACAATTAAATAACTAACAACATTTAGAGACTTAGTAAAAATTAGCAAAGCAACAGAACACGTGGTCTAATAAGCATATAATATTTAATATAATATTAACTAGTGAAAAAGAACTAAGAAAATCATTTATTCACTTCCAACTAAGCAAAAAATTTTATTTTAACTTCATCTTAACTTTTGGTAGCATTATTTAAGTTAACTACATTAAGATATAAAAAATATGTATAAAAAAGATATAAAGTTAAGTTACCACTGTTTGCTTGGCACCTGTTGCAGTTGAAATGGCGTTAAATTAAAAGGTACCGAGTCAATGACATGAAACAGACAGCCAGCCTTGAGGTCGAAAATTATTCGACAGAACAGCAAGGTTAATAGTACCAACACACTAATTTACGGGCGGTAAATTTGAAAATGTTAACATGAGTTTAAATGATAACCCTCCCGTAAGAGACTAAACAATGAAAGAAATTAGCGATAACGCTAATCCCCTGCATCAACTAGTCTAGAACAAACAAGTAGGCAAAATTCATTCAACTCCATATTTAAAAGAGTGATAAACGTCAACACTGTAGTTGGTTATACATCTACAGGTGATTGACGATAAGCACCTAATTTCCAAAAAGTCCAAGGTCCCACGCTTGGAACTTTAATTTGTAAAGTATTCAAAGATTGAATTGTATTTATTTATATTAAAGTAAAAAAACCAGAGGGTCAAATTAATCAATATATGAAAAACGACCAAGTATGCAATGTGAGTTGCATAAGTAAGTCTAAGTTAATTAGCATTTATGCAATAATATATTTTTATTAAGTATTAATTATAGTAAGTTAAATTTATTTAATAAAGAAAATGTGTTGAATTGTACGACTTTAGAGACACATACATAACGAACTGATTGTAAAGCCTAATTCTGCAAAATTAAAGCATGATATATTTGACTCAAGTTACTTATGTCTGTTCTCTTATTTAAAGCATTAGGATGTTTGAGAATGGAACACATTTCTAAGAACTGTCTTTTACCAAGATTGCGCTCATTGCCAAGAATTTTAACTTCATTGAAATTCACCTTATGTTTGGTGTTAATTGCGTGTTGCGCTAACGCACATGTGTGCTTAGAAAGATTAATGTCACTTCGATGGGAAGTAAGACGTCCTTTTAGTGATCTTCCAGTTTGACCAATATAACAAGCGTCACACTCAGCACAGGGTAAATAGTATATAGTATTAACTTGTTCCAAAGTGGACAAGGGTGTTTTAGTTTTAGAAAACAAATTTCTAACAGTCTAACATATATATATATATATATATATATATATATATATATATATATATATATATATATATATATATATATATATAGTTTGAGTTTAGTTCTTGAACCTTAATATATATTTTTTAGTGGATTTTCTTGGCTTAGGTTCATAAAAAAAAATTTAGTTTGATACTAAGACATTTTTATATATATTTTTTCCGACGTTTCGGCAGGAAATCCATGCCTTTTTCAAGAATATATATTGACTAAAAAAAACATTCTATGACAGACATAATATGGTTTAAAAAATAAACTTTTGACTTACCAAGCATGTAAAGATTTGGTGTTAACAATTAGACGTCACAATTAAAATAATTTTAAAACATAGGACATACCCACTAAGTCACTAAAAGTAAAATGTATTTTAAATCTAATGTGTTGTTTATTGATGTTAGCTTATCGTTTAAACAATCAGTTATTTTAACATCATAGGCGTTCTGAGATTGACTTATGTATATTTAAATTAAGTTAAAATATATTTTGTTCAAATTTTTGACATCTTTTTTATCATTTATTGCGTTATTATTTTTTTTATTTGTATAGACTCTAGAAGCTCTCTCTTCTTCCTGTTGGCTTCACTTTTTAGGATCTTGGTTTGCTCAAAATCAAATTTATGTTTTTTTTTCGTTTTCATGTTTTGTGAGGGCGGTTGAGTTTTTTTTGTCATATTTGTGGGAACGTATTCTTGAATTAAGTAGTTGACTGGTTTGTCCAATATAAACTCCATCACAATTCGAGCAGGGAATTTCATATACAACATGTGATCTTTTTAATAGAGGGGTTTTTGTTTTCAATCTTGTAAAATTCCTTTTCAAAAGATTGTGACCTTTATGAGCAACCGTAATATTATGTTTTGACAGAAGATTTGCTATTTGTTCTGATAACCCTTTTATATAGGGGAGAGACATATAGTTTTTCTTTACCGTGTTGGTTTTATTATTATTATTGTTATTGTAAAATTTATGCAGTCGCGATTTGAAAGTGTTGTCGATAAGGTGGTGTGGGTATGAATTAAGTGTAAGTGCTGTTTTTGCTTTTTTAGATTATCCGATCCTATCAATAGACCTCAGGCCATTAAAAAAGCAAAAACAGCACTTACACTTAATTCATACCCACACCACCTTATCGACAACACTTTCAAATCGCGACTGCATAAATTTTACAATAACAATAATAATAATAAAACCAACACGGTAAAGAAAAACTATATGTCTCTCCCCTATATAAAAGGGTTATCAGAACAAATAGCAAATCTTCTGTCTAAACATAATATTACGGTTGCTCATAAAGGTCACAATCTTTTGAAAAGGAATTTTACAAGATTGAAAACAAAAACCCCTCTATTAAAAAGATCACATGTTGTATATGAAATTCCCTGCTCGAATTGTGATGGAGTTTATATTGGACAAACCAGTCAACTACTTAATTCAAGAATACGTTCCCACAAATATGACAAAAAAAACTCAACCGCCCTCACAAAACATGAAAACGAAAAAAAACATAAATTTGATTTTGAGCAAACCAAGATCCTAAAAAGTGAAGCCAACAGGAAGAAGAGAGAGCTTCTAGAGTCTATACAAATAAAAAAAAATAATAACGCAATAAATGATAAAAAAGATGTCAAAAATTTGAACAAAATATATTTTAACTTAATTTAAATATACATAAGTCAATCTCAGAACGCCTATGATGTTAAAATAACTGATTGTTTAAACGATAAGCTAACATCAATAAACAACACATTAGATTTAAAATACATTTTACTTTTAGTGACTTAGTGGGTATGTCCTATGTTTTAAAATTATTTTAATTGTGACGTCTAATTGTTAACACCAAATCTTTACATGCTTGGTAAGTCAAAAGTTTATTTTTTAAACCATATTATGTCTGTCATAGAATGTTTTTTTTAGTCAATATATATTCTTGAAAAAGGCATGGATTTCCTGCCGAAACGTCGGAAAAAATATATATAAAAATGTCTTAGTATCAAACTAAATTTTTTTTATGAACCTAAGCCCAAGAGAATCCACTAAAATATATATATATATATATATATATATATATATATATATATATATATATATCCAACTAAATAAATCGGAAAAATTAAAAAGTCATATAAAACTATAAAAAATTAATCTAATATATACAATAAGGTAATATTCAATTGTGAATTTTTCCTTAATCAACCAGCTGGTGTTGTCATTTGACTTTGAATCCAAGTAGTGTAATTGGGAACGCTCACATATACTCCGTAAACTCCTGTCTGGCCGCAATTTTTACCCCATATAACTAATCCAGCTATATTATGAGCTCCGGTTGTAGAAGGACACACCAAAGGTGAACCGCCATCTTGCTGTAAAAAAAGATATAATTTATATTTATTTCTGCTATCCTTCTGTATAGCATGAAAGCATTGAAAATAAAAGTCGGTACCATGCGGATACTGAAAATCTTTGAGATATAAGTATTTTGTTTCATGCTTATATGGATGAACTACATTAGAACCAAAAGAAGAAAAAGTTATAAGGCAATTGGAAATTGATAGAGAATTTTAGGAATGATAAAAAAAAACAAAAAATAATTTTTTCGGACACGTTTTTTGGCTCGAGATATGACACTTTCTGATGCTGGTAATCGAAGAAAAGATTGAGGGCAGGCGAGGCTCTGGTAGATGATAGGTTACGTAGCTGAGAAACATCATATTATAGACTAACTTAGACTACTAGTCACCAAGAAGAACTCCCTGAGATGGGAAGAAATTGCAAAAGTCAAGAAGAAAAAATCGTAATATGTACATCAGCTACACCAAGGGAGTTTTAAGAGTTTATTAATTTTCACGTAAGAAATTTTTCATAAAGTTTTAATTCAATTTGAAAAATTGGAATTACATTGAATGGTATATGTAACCAAATGGCATATCTACCAAAATAACACAATAAAAGTAAAAGCATAAGAAGAACTAACCGACCCTATTGAAGCTGGCATTGGAATAAGACAGGGGAATTCCCTGAGTTATCTAATGTTAAACCTGATTAGGGATGAAATCATAAAAAAAGTAAGATTTAAAAAAGGATACCAGATGGGAGAAAAACAAAATAATTTGCTATGCAGACGACGCAATACAACTCTCTCAAAGTGAAGATGATTTACAACGTAGGATGCACCAATTTAATAATACCGCCAGAAAAATTAACATGTTTATTTCCTCAACGAAGATAAAATGCATGGTTGCAACAGCAAATTTACTAAGATGTAAAGTGGAGCTGGAACGGTCAGATAATAGAACAAGTGATGGAGTTTAGATATCTAGGCATCACATTATCTAGCTACGGAAAGCTCGAAACCGATCTGGAAGATCAAGTGAATAGATCAAACAGAGCCGCAGGCTGCCTAAATGAAACAATATGAAAAAATCAAAATATCGGGAAAGAAACGAAAGGCAGAATTTACAAAACAGTCATCAGACCAATAATGACATACGCGGCAGAGACAAGACCTGATACAGAGAGGACAAAAAGGATGTTAGAAACAGCAGAGATAAAAACATTTAGAAAAATTGATGGTAAGACACTATGGAACAGAGCTAGAAGTACACATATACAACATATATGCAAGGCGGAGAACATTAAAACTGGGTAAGAAATAGAAGAGTAGAATGGAACGATCTTATAAGCCGAATAACAACAAATAGAGTAGTAAAGAAGGCACGAGACGGTTCGCCAAAAGGAATACGATCAGTAGGAAGACCACGAAAACGATGGAATGACAACTTACTAGAGGCACATTGAAAAACAGTCAGAGTGATGTCTATATAAAAGAAGAAGAAAATGAAGGCATATGGAACAACATAAAAAATAATACTAAAACAGCTTACGGTATCCTTCTAAATCTAGTAACGACAATGTAAAATAAATTATAGATAACCGATGAGATACTCTATATTATGGAGGATAGAGACATATTAAATACAAATAAAACAAACTAAAGAAAACTTTGTCAGAAATACAAGAAGCGGAGAGCCTACATGATCTGTATGACGATGTAAACTATCAAAGAAGGAATAAATAAGTTACTAGTATTGCAAAGAAAGCACCTACATCATACGAAATATGATAGAAAAGTGGTCTTGAATCTGGTTAAGCTATGCAACGTATAGAAAAGGTATGCTTAATTTTTATTTGAAGACCAGAGAGAAAAAGACTAGAAAACCTATCAACCAAGAATAGTATGGTTCGGAAATTCTTCAATCTGAGGTTCAACAAGTTCTGAGAATAACAAAGAATTAAAATAGTCCAGATCAGTTTAACATCAGAACTGCGAGTAAAAGCACTAAGATGCTACGTGTTTTCGATACTGCAATTGCTAGTCATAATTATACAAAAATTGGTGAAATTCCATATTTGATATTTTCAATGTTGCCAGATTTGCTGTTTTTCTTATAATATTAGTACCTTTGGTTTTTCAAATTCATCACCCTGTATATTCAATCATTATTGGAACCTCTTATTCAATACGAGTTTAACCATATGTAATACTTATGATTTTATGTAGTCTAGAAGGTCTTAAATACATAAAACAGTGCAAAATATGTAGATTTTAATTAATTTAAATGTTTAAAAGCAGAATTCTGTTTTGACATTTATTCACCATTTACATTATTAACTAAAAGTTACAGTAGTTGTTTTTTGAAAAGTTCTGCAAGATAAATTGCTTCTCTAAAATGGCTCTTAACGAAAAAGAACGAATTACTATTCTATTGATGAGAGGGTACAGTGACAGAAAAAGATCTTTCACAGATACTTTCCCAAACCGTTCTCCTATTCTTAAGGAGACGGTGCAAAAAACTGTAAAGCGATCTGAGGAATCTGGAGAAGTAAAAGATAGATACCGATCACGTAGACCGAAAAGAGTTATAAATGACAAAAAAACTTTAGATATAATGCTTTTTGATTAATGCTGTATAGTTTTGTTGAAGATTCACATACATCCTCACGCAGGGTTGCACAAATACATGATGTAGGTCGTTCTTCAGTCTTACGTGTATTACGTAAAAATAAATTTAAACCATACAAAATTAACTTATTGCAAGAATTAAGTGAAGAAAACTTCGATCGTAGATTAGAGTATACTGAGGTAATGATGGATAAAATTGTAAATGACCACAAAAGTTAAATGTATAATCAGGTATAGTAGTTAATTGGGCCATTTTTTATCAAAGGGAATTTAACGTCAGATAGTAACGAAATGTTACATAGAAATGCAATTGAAACCTACACTGAGAAACTTATTGGGAGGCAATTTTAATCAGATATGGTTTCAGCAAGATGAAGCTCCAGCTTATTTTGATGTAAGTGTTAGACGTAGGTAGACGTGATGTAGGTAGACGATGTAGAAATGAATGGCCTCCACGTTCACCTGATTTCAATTCTAAAGATTATTTTTATTGGGGATACATGAAAAATTCAGTTAACAAAATTAAACCAGTAATTCTTGCAGAGCTTAGGCAACGAATTATCGATGAATTTCGAATAATTTCTAGACAATCATGGAGAAATATAGTAGACGCATCTTACCATCGATTAGTGTACTGTCAACTCACAAGTGGAGCACATTTTAAACACTTGATAAAGTAATCATTATGTTAAAAAATGTTAAAATCTATCAATTGTTACGTTTTATAGTAGTTGAAAATAGTTAGTATTAAAAAATTTATTGGGACAATTAGGCGTTGCCAAACTTCTGTTTTATGTATTTAGTATGTATTTTAAAAATACCTGTAGACTAGTTCAAATTAGAATTCGTACCATTGCCCAAAAAACCAGGAGCAAAAGTTTTGCGAAGACTATAGAACCATAAGCCTACTGAGGCATCTGCTGAATCTGTTTTTAAAATTCATCCAAAAAAAAATTAACCGAAAATGCGAGGAACAAATTGCGCCCAATCAGTTTGCATTTGTGAACGCCGTTACTACGAGAGAAGCTTTATTTAGCGTGCCGGTATTGTTTGTATTGTGCAGGTGCATGAAGTCACCTCAATAAATGAAATCAAGCTCAATAACTTGCGGTATGCAGATGATACAATAGTGTTTTCCAATACCATAGAACGGCAGCAAAACTTAATGAAACCAAGCAGAACATATGGACTGGATATAGACACCAGCAAAACCAAGCTAATAATCATCAGCAAGGAAAACATAACCGGAGCAAATCTGTATGTAAACCATATGAGAATTGAACGTGTCTTATAGTACAACTACTTGGGAACTATAATCAATGAGTCATGGGACAATACCCAAGAGATTAAATGTCGCATCGGAAAGGGCAGTGTTCGAGGCATCGCTCAGTGTTTTTGTACGGAGTAGAAACGTGGACATTGAAGGCGGAAACTCTATCAAAACTTCAGGCTTTTGAGCTATGGTTATACATAAGGATTCTGAAAATATAATGGACAGACAAAGTCACCAATGAAGAAGTACTACGAAGGATGAACACAACCGCGGATTTGGTAAACATCGTGAAGGGTCATGAGATGCAGTACTTGCGACACATAATGAGAAATCAAGGCAGATATGAGCTACTCTAATGCATTTTGCTAAGTAAAATTGAACTAAAAAGAACCCCAGAACGAAGAAGAATATCCTAGCTCACTAAACTGAGAACATCCTATAAAAGGACCTTAACACAGGTATTCCGTATAGCAACCACCAAGTCATCATAACCAGATTAATCGGCAACGTTTGAAATGGACAGGTACCCTATGAAGAAGAACCAGGCGCAATTTCAATGCTTGGTTATGGCCGAATCCTTCTAGATTTTAGTTAGTTTGACATTTTAAGGCGTCGACGTATATCTTTGCTGCATATCCTGCTGCATTTAATATTTTTGGCTGATTATACTAGTTTGGGACTATTAAACTGGCTGGTTATACTAGATGGTAGAAATGAACGTGGCGAAATACTGTTAAGGTTCATGCTGCACCATGATTTATTCCAAATGAACAGTTTTTTTCAAAAAGAAACCGCAGAGAAGAGGGACATGTCAAAGTGCTAATGGAAAAACTCAAAACGAAATAGATTTTATTATCACGGACAAAAAATACACCGTTAAAGACATCACGGTTCTAAACAGATTTGTTACCAGTAGCGATCATAGAATGGTACGGGGTAAAATAGAAATAAGCTTAAAGAAGGAGAGGTATAAGATGATTAAAAAGAAGAACAAATCAAAACCATGGATGAAACCATCAGATGTAGATAGTTTTCAGGAATGTATTTCCGACATACTTAGTAGTCCTAAAACAGAAAATAATATAAACGACTTAAACAATAAATTAACAAATGCTTTACTCGAAAGTCAAAACAAATTCTATCCTAGAACTCAAAAAGAAGAGAAGATTAACCAAAGTACTAGGCAACTAATGCAGATAAGAAGAGAAATGAGAAACGAGACGGAAACTAAAGCCGCCGAACTACAAAAATTAAATAAAGAAATATCCAAAGCTGTTGAACAAGACACTCGAAAATACAACCAAGAACAAATCGAACATACCATTGACAAAAATAGAAGTATGAAAGTATTAAGAAAAAGACTAAAAACGGGGACAAGGCAGATAATAAAGATTAAAGATAGAAATGGTCATCTTACAACCAACAGAGAGGAAACCCTTAAAATAGTTGAAAATTTCTACAAATTGCTATACACAAGCCAACACAAAGCAAATAACAGAGAAGATCAAGTACCAGAAATATTAACAAAGAAAAAGGGCATTGTCAACCAAGGATCAGAACTACTACCGGAAATCACAATGGACGAACTATAACTAGCCCTAAGAAAAGTTAAGAATAACAAATCTCCAGGCAAAGATTATGTAGGTAGTTACTGATGAAATCAAAATCGGAGGCACTTGCCTACTTAAGAAAATAAAAAACCTTTTTAACATGTGCCTTTTGGACAGTAATACTCGACAAATGGCACAATACTGAGAGGTAATTCTATTGTACAAAAAAGGAGATCTCCATGAATTAGAAAACTACAGGCCTATAAGTCTTCTTAGTCATCCATACAAACTCTTTACAAGAATAGTAATGAATCGTCTTGAGAAAAAACTTGAATTTTACCAGCCAATAGAGCAAGCGGGATTTCGTCCTGGATTTGGAACAAATGACTACCTACAGAGCATTCAAACGGTAATAGAAAAGAGTATAGAATACAATCGACCACTCGTTCTGGCTTTTGTAGATTTCCATAAATCCTTTGACACGGTAGAATTTGACTTCTGGAAGCACTACAAACATGCCGCATTGACTACCGATATACAAGGTTAATTTAAAATACATACAAAAACGCAACTATGTCGGTGAAACTACATGAAAAGACGGATCACATCCCAATCGGCAGAAGAGTCCGACAGGGTGATACCTTATCGCCTAAACTGTTTAACGCAGTACTGGAATATTATTGTAAAAAACTAAACTGGGAAGAGAAAGGCCTGAACATTGACGGTAGAAAATTGACAAATTTAAAATTCGCAGACGATATAGTTTTGTTCTCGGATAACCTCAAGGAGATACGTACAATACTACATGAACTTCAGTTAGTGTGTGCCAGTGTGAGTCTTAAAATAAACATCTCCAAAACAAAATTCATGACAAACCTAGTACCTAGCGGAAATATCCATATTGGAGACAACGAAGTAGAGCTGGTGGAAAAATACATATATTTTGGACACGAAATAAAGATCACAAGATACCACCAAGCATGCGAACTACGAAGAAGAATAAACCTAGCATGGGCAGCCTATGGAAAACTCAAAGATATCTTTAAAAGCGATATACCAATTTCTTTAAAACGTAAAACATTTGACCAATGTGTTTTGCCTTGTATGACTTATGGTGCCGAAACTTTGACATTGACAGCTACAGTTCTAAAACGCTGCAAATAGCCCAGAGAATGGAAAGATCAATGTTTAGTATATCGCTTCGTGACCGCGTTCGAAATGAAGACTTAAGACGAAGAACAGGAGTTACCGATGTAATTTCCCGAATTGCCACACTAAAATGAAACTGGGCCTAACACGTCGCTCGAATTAGCGATGAAAGGTGGACGAAGAGATTACTTGAGTGGAGGCCGAGATTAGACAAAAGAAGTAGAGGAAGACCCCCTACACGATGAACTGACGATCTCAAGAACATGTCAAGAAATTGGATGAAAAGTGCTCAAGACAGACCACAATGAACAAAAATGAGGGAGGCCTATGTCCAGCATTGGACGCAAGTTGCTGGGTGGTGATGATGATGATGATACTAGTTTGATCAACGATCATCATCTTGGTCTTCTGTGAATTAATTTTAAGTCCATATTCAAGACTAACAGTATCTAGTCTCTTTATAATTAATAATCATATCTAGTCTATTCATAAAGTACCTCGGGAACTATTGCTGGGAGTACGAAGAACGAATCCTGCATTAAGGTCACTCAGGCGGCGTCCTGAACTGAAATATCTTTTGAAGATTCCAGACCCCCCTCTATAAAAACGATTTCATCTGTTGATGATGCTAGAACTAGTATGATCCATCGAAAAAATAAAAATTGTTTTATTATCACATTTAAGCCGTGGAGCTATCACTCTCCCGAAGTGGACAACTCACTCATCGTGATTTAAAGGATTGAGTTCTTTAATAAAAATAATAAATATGTGAGACTGTCTGCTCTATAGACCAACTAAAGTTTCTAAAATCAAATGCAAAAAATTCACATATTGTACTATAAATATTAACTTACCGTGCATGCATCTACCATGCTGACACCTCCTGCACATATTTCTCCGTTTGGGTCTAAATACGTGTCCACGTTTGTACCTAGAAGATTTGCCATAGCAAATGATGCTCTACACGTTGCGTAGGAAACAATGGTAACGAAAGCTTGTTTTTGGGGGTTAGTTGGTGCATCAAATACTGTAAATCCCGTTTGACCCCATCCACTTACAGCACACCTGAAACAATATTACAACCTTTGATTAAAACAAATTGAAACGATATAATTATTTATTCTATTCCCTTTTTTCGCGTTTAGTTTTTCAAGACAAATCAAACAATAGATTTGTCCTAGGAAATTGTATCTTTTCTATTTTGTTTAATAATCATTTCATTATTATTTATCCATTTATTCTTATTTCTGTGTTTAGGAAAAACCATTTTATTTAGTGACTAGTAATTTTATTGAGATATTGATGCCTGAATAGGCTTTACTGCTATTTTGTTTATTTTTTCATATTTATTGATTTTTAATAGTGATTTATATAAAAAGGGCATTAAGTAGATATTTACAAGGACCTCTGGCCCAACTGTATTGATAGCCCTTGAGGCTCTTGAGTCTCCCTGCATTGCGAAAGTGACGATCAGTGGTGCTGCTGTAAGGTGATAACTGATCATCATACAGTGCGTTAAGTTTTTGATTAGGTATTGCACACTATACGGAGCGCTAAAATCGGCAACGTTGCAAATTTTGCATTTATTTTAGTTTGGTAACTCACAACAACGTTTAGGATGTACTTCACTGTCGTCCGATCTCATGTTTCATTACGTATAGCCGATTTTAATAGTAGGAAATTCGATAAAAATGCACTGACCTAATCGGTGCATTGTTATCGATTTTTATTAATGTGAAAATTTTTTTGTGGTTGAATTAAAAATAAAAGCGTATTTCTTTAAAAAGATAAAATAAAAAATATACTCTTATTGAAAATTAAAATATTATTCCTAATAAAATAAAAAATAATTCTTTATGACCTACAGAAATGGTTCAAATAGTTGACCTTCTACGGCTGAACAGTACCCCAATCTGTCATAAAAACTTCTGCGAATAGATGAAAGAGTTTCTGCTGTAACAGAATTGGAGACTTCTCTTATTCGATTTTTTAATTCATCCAAATTTTGGGCTCTAGCCTCAGGATAAACGTAGATAACGCTTTTTAAATGTCCCCAAAAAAGAAGTCCATGGGTGTAAGATCTGGAGATCGCGCAGGCCACTTAATATCGCCTGTTCCACTGATAACTCGATTCGGGAAAGTATTGTTTAAATACTCCCTAATAATTCGAGCGTTGTGAACTGAACAGCCGTCTTGATGAAACCAAACATTCTCCAGATTTACATCAGGAAGATTGAGAATAGCGGAAAGAACATGATTCTGTAACAAATCGAGGTATACTCTACTATTCAAGTTGTCCTCAATAAAAAATGGACCTATTATGTGGTCTCCTTAAATGCCAGTCCAGACGTTAACTTTTTGAGGACGTTGAGTTCGGTAAACAACACTTCTATGCTGGTTTTCCCGCGCCCAATACCTCATAATGGAAGGATTGTGTCTCCCTACTAACGAAACAGAAGATTCACCAGTGAATAAAATGTTTTTAATAAAATTTGGTTCACTATTTTCGAATATTTAAAATTCTTGTAACCGTGCTTTTTCCATACTTTCGTTACAGTAACATTGCTAACATCTAACTCTCTAGCAACGCTTCTACTTGAACGTGTTGAATCTACCTCGATTGTTGCACAAATTTGTGTATCCCGGTATTCTCTTTCCTCAACTTTTTCTGGTAACACTTCTTGAGCGTGACATTTTCTGCAATTTTTGAGGCAATAACAACTCTCAAAATTTTTAACAATATTATAAATTGACTGTACACAAGGAATTGGTCTTCCCTCAAAAAACACAGAAAATAAATCTACACACTGTTGCGCAGAATTGCCACTATAAAACCATTTTATTATTTGAGCTTTTTCCGCGGCCATATAAACAGACATGTTTACAAAAATAAATTAAAACCTGCGCTGTTATTCCTTTAAACAACCACGGTATAATGACAATATGACAAATTTGCCGACGGGCGACGAGCAACGACGAGTCAACGAAGCAGATATGTAGTTCAAGTCGACGACGCGCAGTGTTGCCATTTATAGAGTGTATACCTAATCTAAAACTTAACACACTGTATGTATAAATACGGATACGATGAACAAGAACGTCATTGATGCAGTAAGACGTGGTGCTGGCATCATCAAATTCCAGCCTTCTGACAACATATGCGAGTGGCATCGTCGAGGACTAGATAAATGGGTTAAATAGGGACTACAGAAAAAGTGAATTAGTCTTTGAGTGTGCGGGTGCGGGAGAACTGCAGATCATCATCATCATCCAGCCTTCATTTATCACGTCCACTGCTGGACATAGGCCTCCCTTAAACTCCTCCATTCGTCACGATTTTGTGTTCTTTGTTGCCAATTTTTGGTAATACGCCTCATGTCGTCAGCACAACGTGTAGGTGGTCTTCCTCTACTACATATGTCTGCTCTTGGCCTTCAATGTGTAATTTTGCTTAATGTGTAATTTTGCTAGATTGTACTGCAGATAGTACGTCCAATACCTGGAAGTTACTCTTCAGTTAAGTGGGAATATGTGGGGAGATGACGGAAAGAGTGGCTGCACTGGAAAGGGTAATGGCCAACATCAACGCACCCAAATCCCAAAGAAGAAGGGCTCCTTAGGCTTTGTATTTTTGTATTTTGCTACAGATGTGTCATCTGAGGATAGAATGAAAGAGAGTACTCCATGCAAATATATCAGTACAGTGAGCACGCATATCGATGCGTTTCTTGATACAAAGAATATAACGAGTGTGGGCGTCCAGGTCTCATTTAAGGAGGAGATCTGAGAAGAAGGGAGTTCTGCTAACATTATCAGCTATTAAGTCGTTAACTTGTATGAAAATATAAGTAAGAAGTAATGAGGTCATGAATCTTATCTGTAGAGAATGGCCAAAGTCGTTATACAAATGAATGGATATAAAGTAATAATGGTAATGGCAATGAATGTTATGGTAATAACAATTATATCAGGCGATGAATCTGGGAACATAGTGACTGTATTTTTTAACTTTGCGGTTATGAATGGAGAGAGAACGAGTGTAAACACCGAAAGGTGTGTACAAAACTAATATTTGGTAAGGGTTAAGACCCTTACGAGGTCAAGTTCCTGTCGGTGTGAAGGAAATTAACTAAGTGTAAGTAGAAATATGGGAAGAAGAGCATGTAGCTATAATCTTCGACTTCTTTGGAGACAGGTGTCTCCCAGGAAGCCGGCGAAATGACCAGCCAAATATGAGTATCTGACCGTGTCAGTACTTAGTTTAAACAAAAATTTAGCGACTAAGCTCAACCCAGTCGAGAACTGCATAAACTGCAATTTGGAGGGCCATTAGTATGAAAGCCAGTGTGTGTCAGGCGTATAGTTGATAAGATCAGGCATAGACAGCAAGCAGAGATCGGTAAGCCATGGGTTTACCCTGGAATTCTCCAAATTAATGTGGGCACGTCAAGGTTGGCACGCCGCTGAGAAAATATCACATTGGTGAAAGACCATGGCTGGTTTATTGATAACTCGGGTAAAGTCAGGGTATTGATCTTAAATTATAAATTAAGAGTGTATGAGGTATAAAGTCCGTACAGCTTTTTTATGTGTCAAAATGGGAGACTGTAAGTGTGTAGTCCCTGTCCATAAGATAGATATGACTACTAAAAGAAAATGACACCCAGAAAAAAGTAGAAACAGAAATTAATAAAAATTTTGCGAAAAGACACTACTAGAGGCATAGAAGAACAGTGACAATGAATACATCTATTACCACAATTTGGCATAAATATCTAAAATCAAAAAGAGAAAAGAAGAAAGAACGGATGACGGATAAAATATTGCAGATGATGGAAGAGCGAAGAAAATTAAAAGGTAAAAATGACAACGAATACAAAAACTTGCATAAGACTATTCTAAAGGAGATAAAAGGAGCAAAAGAAGCATGGCTGACGGAAAAATGAATGAAAGTTGAAAAGTTAAAACACTAGACATAGTTGTAGACATTAAAGGCCAAATTTTGACTAACATTGGAGATAAATTACGAAGATGGAAAGAATATATGCAAGAATTATGCGAATATTCAGCACGAAGTTCGACTACCTACAAACAAAATAAACAACCCCTACGGCCCAGAAATAACAAACGAAGAAGTAACTATGGCCATTAAGCGGATTAAAGATGGGAAATCATCAGGACCTGATGAGGTGCATGGTGGAATTTAAAGCTATTAGAGTCACACCAAATCATAGCTCTTACGAAGCTATACAACAACATCTAAGAGACTGGTTACTTACCAAAAGACTGGCTACTGTCAATATTATAATATGAGTATATTGGTACTTAAAGATGAGAATTATTAGATGTTACGTCTTTATTATCCTCCTCTATGGAGTAGAAAGCTGAAGCCTTACAGAAGATGCCATAAAACGATTGGAGGCATTTGAAATGTGGTGCTATCGATGTATGTTGAGGATTTCATATATACACCACACAAGTAACATAACTGTTTTCCAGAGGCCAAGAAAAGACAAAGAAATTATTTACACCTTAAAAAAACAGAAAATTGGGTTACTTCCGCCACATCATGCGTAATGATAAATACCGGCTTCTACAGTTAATTCTACAGGGCAATATTGAAGGTAAGAGAGGCCCTGGACGTAGACGCATATCCTGGCTGGCCAATCTTAGGAAATGGACTGGTCTAACTTTAACTGATCTATTTCGAGCTGCTGTGAATATAATAAGATGGGTCAATGTGGTCGCCAACGTCTCTAAAATATAGGCACATTTAAAAGAAGTAAGTGTGTAAAGAGATTGTGTCTCTTCTGATGTAATATGTCTCCAACATATCAATCAAGTCAAAAAACCTTATTAAAGAAAATTGAACCAGATTATGGGTGAGGTGAGAAAAAAAAGTAGGAACGAGTGCTTGGTGCTCGACAACTCAATACAAAAGCCAGAGATTGGGGATCTAATGATGGTTCAAATTGCTGCGAATGAAGATAGAATGGTTGGGTACTCTAGATTTGATGGCATGTCTGGATCCAACGTTTATTAGATTCAATTTCCGACCGAGCGAG